AACCAGAAATATGACGACAAAACAAACAATGCTAAAAGACTAAAATCTAAAATTGCAATTACTTATTCTTTTTCTTCTGCCACTCAAGTGATAGATCTGAAAAGAGGTTTTAACTGAAAGGAATCTTTTACCATTACTCAAGTCACTCTCACTGCAATTACATTTCAATGATCAAGTACATATACACAGAACTGTTTTCACTAGCTACTCATTTTTTTTTAGGATCTTAAGTTAGTTAAATATAAAAAGATATTTGCAACTTACACATATTATTTGACAACATACTGATTTTCTGTACGAAATTCTGATTCTTATTTGTTAAAAGGAAACACTGGACATCAAAACACTTCATCCCTCTATGATGCCACCACCATCGAAGACTTGTACGTATATTATACACATGAACTTTATACAAGTAATTCCCATTCAGTACCAGTAGAGTCTTCAACGTAGCTTTCCCTCATGAAACAGCAGCACACACACGCATGCACTTCACCCTGCATCCAAGCTCTGTACAAAGCTTACGTGGCTTTTTCTAACGAGCTAAGATACAGCAATACTTAATGCTGGTCGCACTTTTCTAAAGGTCACTGCAGAAGGTCTATTGCCATAAACAGATGCCAACGGAAACACATACGACCACACTAGTTCGGTTATGTTTACAGATGCTCTTTACATGTAAATAGACTGCTGATCATCACAAACCTTACTCTCATTTTAGATTTCTGAAACATGAAACCACATTGTCAAAGCTATGAAAAAGAAATCATGCTGTGAAGAGCCAAATGGAAGCAGATACAGGGAAAAAGATCTGTTTTGCATGAATTAGCTCTTAAAGATCATTTCCATACTATGAACAATCATTGCACCTTTACCTTGCTGGTACATAAATTTCAATAGTACATAACATGGTTTTTGTTATTTACTTGCTAGATTTCCTAATGTTATCCCTAATGTCATCTACTGCAGCTGAAAAGGAGTGTAGAAAAATGCTACAGATCTTCAGGCTGTATTCATTTCTGTGATCAATACAATGATTAACCACTATAAAAAAAAATAAAGGGTAGAGACCCGCCCTCAAATCCTATTCAAGCAAGAATTCCTGTGATGTTTGATAGTTGCAAACAGGACAGACTGAGTAAAGATCACAGCAATATGCTTTATACAGAAGTATCATTTAAAAACCATGCAACTACATAACAAAGTCAGTATAGAAACAGCTGAAAGTAAAGTCAATGCAGAATCCTCGCTCCTCGTAATGATTTGCCCAGTTCCACTCAAACAAAATGCAAATAAAAAAGACACTGATGCAAACCTCTTACAGCTCAGCACAGGATGACATATTGAGAACACACCGTTGTCTTTACTATCGGTTAGAATTTCACTGCTTTAATCATTGAGTCAAAACATCTTCATATTATTAGGTCCTTTTATAAAATTATCAGTTAAAACAAAAATAAAAAATGCTTCCTAAGTAGCATAAGTTAGGGTAATGACTACTAAATTGTGAGTTTTTGAAAACCCACACAGACACACCTATACCAGACTAACTTTCAATATTCAAGCACCTCAAGACCTTTAGATGCCATAACATCCCGGTGTGACTTGCACTCTAGGATACTGCTGATGGGGCTGCAAAGGGAAGATACACAGCCATGGCTTCCTTGCTTCTCACTGGGATTAGAATGCAAAAAAAAAAAAAAAAAATCACATTGCCTAATAACTACAGAAGCCTACAATCTTAACTGTAATCACTTTTAAAAGTCTCCATGTACTTGGTTGCTAAAAATACTATTTAGTTAGAACTGTTCCAAGTGAAAATAACTACCTCCCTCCCATTCCAAAACTAGGCAAAGCTGCTATCCCCTTTAGAACATAATCACCAAGAAGCCCTTTTTTTTCCTAGTGTGCATAATTGTGCTGTTTTGAGGTTTTAGTCCTTAAATTGGACTTTTTCCTCTACAATTAAGATTATTGTTTTTTTTTTCCTCTCTTCCTGATCAGTAGCACCAACTCCATTTCTGTAATGGAATAGGGACCACTACTTTGATCTTCTCTGTAAGAATCACTTCTATGAGATTATTTTTTTTTTTTATAAAATAAAGTGTGTCTACTAATAAGGATCTTTTAGAACTACCTTGTTTTCTCACTAGTTGACTTTTTATGAGTCTTAAACTGCCGACCAGAGCACTAAGACAACATCATCTGGTAGACACAAGGGAACAACCATTGTTTTTGTCCTAAACTTGACAATGACAAAATGGAATATCCAAGATGTAACGTCCATCCTAGAAGAAGCCTTATTGGCAGGGATATGATAATTTACAATTCAGAGCTAAAGATTAAAGATTAAGAGTTAAACTATCACTCTCTTTCTTGAGATGAAAACCACTACCAAACTCTTGCTCCTTCATTAACTCTTATTTGTTCCATAATGAGAGCTTTAAAGAGGAATAAAATTACTTTATTGGATTCTTCTATGCCAACCAAACATGCAAAGATCAAATAAAAAACCCACTTGATATATAGACATTCAATTTTTTTTTTACAGCAATCACTGTGATTTGTAAAACAGACATAGATTCATACATGCATATATTTAGATGTGTATTCAACCCTCCTGACACAACAGAATTTTTATAGAGTGTAAAGAAGTACTTTACTATAGAAATGATACCTTACGGTATGTCATACAAAATTTCCTCAAAACACAGGACGACAAAACTGACCACCAAAAAGTAGCTTTATTTATAAATGAAGAAAATGCATTTTGAAATGCTCCCTGTAACGTTTGTATATTGCACTAGATTTTGACATCATCTATATCCATGGTGATTGTGAATTTAAATCATTAAAGACACAATTCCGTTCCAAGTACAGTTAATTCAAATCTTTTACAGACCTCAATATGCTTTGGATTTAATCCTACATTAGGGTCAGATCACTTCTAGTCACTCCATTTGACCCTGATACTCATTTGACAGGGATTAAAGAGGTGAAACTGGTATTAAAATTCGATACTGTAAATCAGGGGAAATACTATGGTCTTATAGCCTCACTGAATTTAATTTCTTACAGTATTATAAAGTTTATACATACTAACATATTTAATTCAGAACATACTGAAAAAATATTTTAAAATATTTTATAAAATGTAATAGATTTAGTAGTTCTCTGCAAATGTATTCTTACCTTGAACAATGTATTAAACACAGGTAAAATCAGAAAACCTCCCCTTCAAAAGGACAAGCCAGCCACTTAGACAAAACCAAAGTACTATGTAGAGAAGGAAATCTCTTTAGCCTTAGATTCCATGTGCCATAACACAGCCATAATGACAAGGGCGGTATGATATGTAACAACAAAGTAAATGATATGTCGCATTCTACTTGTACATTTTATACATAAGACGCAAGCATATCAACCACAAGCGTAAAGAAGAGTTCAGTGAAACAGCATTGCTTTACAGGTGTTCACAGTATCAACAACTTTCTAAACCTAGGGTAGCTTTAGCCTTCTGCTCAACTTCCATTTTTTCCTTCCTCTTCTGTATATGTGCCACCTCTACTCATTTTTATAGTAAGTTCTGCATTCATTCCCAATGTCTAGAAAAACACAAACTAGTATTTTATTCTCAACACACCAGTTATCAAGAACAGTAGAAAGATGACAGATGAATATCCAAAGAAAAGCCAACTCAAAATTAAATTAAAAGCTGATTCATTATTATATATTATACCAAGTTCTGAAATGGCAGGAGAAACATGAAAGAAATTTATAATTCATTACTTACTACATTTCCCTAAAAAGCTCCCAACTTACTAAAATACAGAAATAGAAGTTGTAAATGTAGCTTGTAACTAGTTTATAATCCAGAAAGTCCTAGATGCACTACAAAACAAAATGAGAGGACTTGAATGTAAAGTTTAAAATTAATAAAACCCACTTGTATTGGTATAATCATTCAGAATAAACACATGTATAAAACAACAATACATTTTTATATGTGTTAATTGAAGGTGTAGTGTGCCATCACAGCTCAAAGCCACAAAATTAATGTAAACTGATTGCATGTTAGTGTAAGCCATCATACAAAAAAACCCCTATGGTACTCTATCATGGTAAGAAGGCCATGGTCAGCAACATTATCCATTGAAGAAAGCGGTCTGCCAACAGTTCTATAAAGCATTACAGTATTTCATCATTAAAAGCATTTCTTTAATCTCCACGTAGAAGAAAACCTCGTGGTACACTGTAATCTCAGTTGTTGCTTGTAGGCAATGAGAAAAGAGGCTTTTTAAACACAGAAGAAAACCTCAATGTGCAAACATTATCCACTGTGCCATTTCATTTTACCACAATAGCTCATACTCTGTGTGCAGTGTGTTGCTAGAAAAGGAGACAGCAATATGCGTACTTATTTGATATTAGTATGTAAAAAACCATCTTCCACAACCATTAGGTCTACATTGTCTCTTTCAGAAAAAAAGTAGCACTCTTTGCCTGATCAGTTTATTCTTAAGAAAGAGCGAGCTGATGACCTGTGCTTTCACATTTCCCATGGTGATTATTTTCATTGTTTATTCACTGAACTATGAACTCAGAAGAAAAACAGATTTGTGATATTTATTATTAACCTATGTTAAAGCAGCACACAATTAATATAAACCACAAAATAAGAAATAAGTAAGACTGTTTGCCCCTGATTTCTTTAGCTGAATATAAATTCGATATGCATTGGAAACTACCATGACTCGAATAGAAATTTTAAAGTAGACAAAGACAAAAAGGTACTAGAAAATTAAGGCAATTAAACCATGTGCAATAATCCACTGCTCAAACTCTACTGGATTTCCCAGACTACAAATATGCTTTCGTTCTCTTCTATTGCTTTATTGGTAGAATTATAGCATTGAACACATAGTTATGAAAGCAGACTTTAAGTAAAGAAAGGTAAGAAATCAAAGAGTTTGAGCTATCATAAGCTCATTATTTGATACCTTGCTCTATACTGCCACTTCTTACTGGAACTTGCGGTAGCTGTCTTCCCCTGCGACTGCTGAAGGATGTGTCTGCAGGAGGAGACTGTGTGGGACTTCCTTGTGGATGTATTCTGCAAATGAAATCAAGATAGAAGTAAAATAACCCAAATGAAGAGAATTTTTATATTCTGAATTTATACACCTATTAAGTCGCATATACTGAAGATGGCTTTGAAGAAGTTTGCATTTGGTGTATGCCATATGCACATACTCAGGTCTAGACACCTGCTTAACTTATAAGGCCTCACTTGTAATTTCTCTAGCTACCTTCAACTAAGGAGAAATATTTTCATTTCTTTTGTTTTTGTTTTTTTTTAAAATAAAGTAGTAGTCAAAAAACACTAAACAAAAAGCAGTTTTCTAAGAATCATTTATGATTATGACGCACAGTTTATATATGTTCTCCTACACTGGCACAAGGACAATACAAAATGCCACCTCTGTATTTTATTAACTTTTGTATTCCCTTCATGCTGATGCAATAATTTCACACAGAGAACTGGACAGCAAGTATCTATTCCCATGGGATAAGGTGTTGTTTTTCCCTGAACTCAAAGAAGGAAAAAGACCTTTAACCTTGGTATTGGGGGGGGGCGGGGAGGGGGGGCGTGTGTGTGTGTGCCTGAAGAAAGTACAAGATTATTAATATTTGTACCTAAGCAAATATCGTAAACCCCTTTGGCTGACTTCTAGCTAGCACTATTTCAGAGCACCTTGGCTACTTGATTTCTTATACAAAGATACAGCATCTAAGTGTAGCACATCAAACACCCTTGGAACACTGCTAACTTTGCATTGAAAATAAGTAGGGCCACCTCTAATAATTAGGGAAAAAGTTTAAGAAAATAAAACAAAGATGAGAAGCAGCAGACCGGTGAGAGGGAGAGCTTACTATTAAATGCCCTTGCCAGTTACAGTAATATCACACTCACTAGAGCAGATAAGCACTTTTTATCTAGTACACTAAGGTTGCAAGTAGATAATCTGCAATTTTAAGTAACACATTTGTGCCAGGTCAAAATACTGTTGGCTTTCACACTACGTAGATCAACTGACTTTCTCTTAGCCTGTAAGGTCAGAGTCAGCTGTTTGAACAGCACGTGATTTCCTGGACAGTGTTTAAGTAAAATACTTTGCTAATTTTCATATGGATACAGAACAAAACACAACAATGGAAGGACAAAACACAGCCAATTTTTTACTCTTACATTGCACAACTATTTAAGTTCAACAGCCAGAAGTGCCATCTGGATGGTGAAGATAGGTGGCGTAAAGGATATGGGAGAAGCATAAATACCATGAAGAAAGGATAATCTACAGTGCCAGAATGAGTGAATGCGCCATGTATGCTCAGGAAAGTACACCACCACACTGACACCTGGGAGCAGAACACGAAAGCAGTGCTGTACACATAATAGCAACCTTGTCAGAAGTGGAGAAGGCGGCGCCGACCCTCCAGGCGCTAGGTGATGTACAGAGCATAAGGGTCTGATACTAGAGTGCTCACTCGACCTTGAGCGAGCATGATGTTTTCCCCTAATGACTGGCTGTTCAGCCGTTCGTGGGGTTGGAAGTCCCCTTCTAGAAAGACATGGTAGCAGACCCCTAAAACATCAGGGCCAAAAAGAAACTGTTCAGTCGTTAGCCCCAGGCACACCTTCCCATGCCCCCCTCCACCAAAGAACATTGCAAATCCTGCCTGCGGTACCAGGGTTGACATTTCAGGTTGAAGTTATTAATTCTAAATGGAAACCCATTTCCAGAATGACAAACTGCAGAACACTCACCACTGCAGAAACACATGACCCTAACTGTGGAACTGCTGAATTGCACTGCATATAGTGGACAGTTGGCCAAAAACTCTAGCCGCATCTTAAACACAGCAAACACAAGCTAACAACACGTATGGCATAAGTACTAGCACAGAGTGGGCTATGAATACATAGTTTTACCACAAAACATTTCTAAAACATACCTTTTATCTTTATTAAAAACATTAACTGGGTTTCAATAAGTGTCCTAAAAAAGGACAATAGGTAAGCACATATGTAATCCCCTTGGTTTCCTTAGGAGTTTGAAAGAAGGAATCTATTTAAGTATCTTTCTGTTGTAAGCCCTAAAACAGAAATACAGTTCTGAAGGAACTCTAATGAAAATATAATTAAAATATGCAGTAAAATGATTCATCATGTTAGTATAATAAAGCATAATTATTAGCAGTTTAATAATTGCATAAACTGCAAGAATAAGATAATGTGAAACATTCCAAGTTTGGAGAGTGACAAAATATTCTAACTGTGCCCTTTTACTCTTCCGTGATTTCCCAACAGTGCAGCATTTTGTAAATGGTACTACTGTACCTGCTGCTACTTCAGAAGTTTCAATTTCTTGTGACTTTTTTTTTTTTTGGTTGTTTTTTTTTTTTTTGGTGGGGGGGGGGGGTGGATGGGGGTGTTTGGTTTTCTCTTTTTTTGTTAGTCTGTTTTGGGTTTTTTTGTTTTGTTTTGTTTTAATTTTTGCAGTCTTATGAAGTCTCCCTTCACACACCCAGCACAACTTTGCCACAAGATACAGCCAAAGTAACCAAGGGACTGTCTAGTTCATATGACTACCATACACTGAAAAGTCACCCTAAAAAAAAAAAGTACATATATGAGATAACATGCAGATGCCTACCAAGTATAACAAACAGGTTTGGTTTCAAAGCCATTTCCTAAGTAACAGCTTATGTGGAAGTACAGCCACAATGCAACAAAACCAGGATTCTGTTGCCCTTGCTATATTCTCGCTCTTAAACCCTAATGCTTCTTTAGCTTAACTCCTGGCTTGCCCTGGTGATAATCATAACATTCTTGCAGAGGTTGATTCCCTTGATTCTAAAAGAGGCTTACAATAATGAAGATGGGCTACGTTCTGGAAATGCCTGCTTTTCCTTGCTGACTGCAAAAGTAATCCATGACAACTATTGCATGCAACCAGTTTTTAAGCTTCTGTTTTATCAGATGTTTAAACATCATAACATCCATAAGGTAAATATGGATCCCACTCTGTGCCAGAAAGTGCTCGCTTGCTTTTACTATCAATGAATGCTTCAATCTAACAAAGTCATCGTGTTCTGATTTTTCTCATTTTAGAGGCTGAATATCCTGGAATTTATCCGAGAGCCCAGTGAAGCATTAGGAGAGTCTGTCCTGTCATTACAGAACAGATACTTCACCTGAGACTCAGAAACCTACCTCCTGCTCTTTCAGTAATACCCTTTTTACAGACCAGTTCCCTTCCATGAGAGAAAGACAGAATATCTGCTTAACTAAAATGAAGACAAATTAGGCTTAAGACTTGCATTAGCTGAGGTATTACATTGAGACAAATATGCTACTTGGGGTGCAAATGAAAATAGAGCTAAAGGGGAACTGGAGAAAAACCAGAATGGAGTCAAAGACTTGCTGGCCTAGGGGAAAGATCAGTTGCTGAAAGGAAGCCGCCTGCAAATGTCTGCCAGGAGAATGAGACAAAAAGGAACAAGCATGGGAGACAAAAGTTAGCGTATGACCAAGGAAACGAGACAGAAGTGAGATAAGATGTACAGAGAGGAGAGGAATTTGGGAGAGAAATGATAGCTGGTGAGCAATGAGACTGTAACGAGGATGTACGTGTGTATATCTCATCTCCGGGTTCCTCACGGGGAGGTAACACTGCAAGCAGCAAACCTAGTAATTCAGTTGGCAATGGTCTACAGGGGAATCCTACAGGTTCCAGCTCTGCCTACACACAAGAAAACTTAAATTTCTTTCTCTTCAGACTGATATCTCAGTGGCGTGTAGTAATTAAACATGGTGCCACTTACAGAACTATAAAGAAAAACTAAGAATAAGAGAGCGTCACCAATCCAGTGCGCCTCTGGCACAAGGTCCTATGTAAAATATAGCAAGCATAGTTAAAGACTCTATGTATTATAACCTATAAGAGAGGTAACCTCAAATCCGGCATTTCTGGGCTGATCAGTTAGGGCTGAAAGAAAACATTGTAGGATTTGGATGCACCAATTTTTACCACAGTTTTGCTCGTTCATAGAAGCACAGATAATGTTTGATTTTCATATAATCAGTTTTACTCCTTCTGAAGAGTTTACTGAATCCCATCTTGAAGGCTTAGCCCATCGAATTGAGAGAACTCTTAGGCTCTGTAAACTATCCTGAAAAGGTTTGCTTTTCCCATTTTACGTACATTTCCTAAGCTACCACAATACATAGAGAACTTTATCTTACATAACATGTTGAAAGGCTTTCTAGAGAAGCTGATAGCATGCTGATATCTTATTCCAGTAATCTGCTTAGCTAATAGTAGAAAAGATCTGCAAATTGCAAAATAAAGACCAAATCTAAGACAGAAATGGATATTTGAGGAAGAAATAGGCTTGAGTTACATTTGACATTTGATGAGAATATTAATTGCCTGTCCTATTATCAACTTTCTGCACTAGTGCAACATTATATCTATGATGAAATACTAAACTACAGCTCTCAGACTTTAGAGATTTGTGACACTTATTTAGACATTTGTGTCTCACATCTAATAGCAGTGAATCATTTTATAGAAACAGAAACCTACACTATATACCACGGAGATGTAAAAAGAAACAGCACAATTCATGTTTCCCTATGCTCTTGTTGCACCAGGTTCATCAGTCTTAAGATCATTAGAAATTAGAGCTGCCATTTCTCTTCTGGAAAATAAAAACTTAGCTATAGGGACTCATACTTTTGGTAACTTTGCTTAACTTCAGGGGAAAAACCAAAACAAAACAAAAAACCCACCAGATTTTTTAACTTATTTTTATTATTTTTAGCTTTCCTAATCACCTGTGAAAAGTGATTTGACATTGCTTTAAAAAAACAAAACCAAACAACTCCCCAAATCCACACCACCTTCCCCTTCCCCCCAAGCACTAGGTAGCGACTACAATCATTGCCTGGGAATGTATCAAAGCCAAATTTATCTCAGCACAGCAGTGACTAAAGTATCAACTTTCAATCCATTAAATCCCATAAAAAGTCTGTATATAGACACTGTAGCAGTATTTCACAGTGGCCTCCAGACTCATGCTTTCTCATATACATGAATAAATCCTCAATCGTATGTTATAATTATGAGAAGCTTTGAAATGTCCAGGAAAAAAAAAAAAAAATCAAAATTTCAGACCTGGGCTGGTCATTTCAAGCAGAGAAACATGTTGCCAGAGCTTCAAAAAGGCCTCTCCTTCATAAATGTAACTACATGTGTATCCTTAGTGATGGAGCCCATGTGCTACCGATATATTCAGCATAACATTTCATAATCACAGTCCCTGCAAATCAGTTCCAATATCACCTGCAATATCTGAAATTTTAAGTATTTCAAGACTATGACTTACACCTTCCATATATTGAGATTAGTGTAAAACACTAATTAGTCTAAACAGGAATTATTAAGGTATATGTTTTTGATCTATGCAGTGATCTTAACATCTGTAGAAGAAAGATGCCCGCAGTTTACACACTGAAATACCAGGTTTGAAACACAAACGTGTATACAGGTACACTGATTTGTCCAGTTGAAACTGTTGCAGGACTTCCTTCTGTACTCTGACAGTGTCTCTCTCTCTGCTCTGCCTTTTTGCCATCTGAATCTCTTCTATTTTCTTTTCCTTCCTTATCCTTTCTGTTGCCATATTTCCTAGTTATGTTTATGTTCCTATTTCTCCCCCCTCCCATGTACTTCTTATCTCTTTCCCACCTTATCTTCCTTCTCAGCTTTGTGCCAAGCTTTCTAACCATATATAGTCTGAGTGGTTACCAAGAATTGTGGGTCCCTTGGACCTCAATCCCAGTGGCTCCCCTTACTCTTCAGAAGTTAGAAAAAAAAGGCAGGAAAAAATGGCTTTAGTGATCTCGGTGGCAAAAACTGTCCTTGGTTTAAATGCAGCAAGGATTTCAGCCATCACTTAGGTAATTTCTATAGTCTAAACCGAAAAAGTAAGTGGGCCCTTGTGACAACAGAATCATCAAACCCAAGAAAAATATAACCATTGCTTTTGGATCAGGAATGATAATCTTGGACTTGAAGCAGCAAAAATAAAATAAAAGCTCTGAAGTTTTGCTACATAATGTGCATTTTCATTGAAAATGAAAAAAATGCGTCTGTGGTGTTCATGGAAGTTTTTCAACCCTCACAACATAAATAGACATACATTCCTCTTCTGCTAATCAAGATAACATAAATGTGTTTCTGACAAAGGCAGGTTCTCACCTCTCCTCACTTCTCTTCTTTCAGCCAATACACAGGGTTTAAAACTTAACTAGATGCACTTATGATTTAGTATGTATCTTTCCCCCCCCATTTTTTCTTAACAATTTGAATGTATAACCATATACTACTGTAACATCAAAGGTAAAACTTACAATGATAATACAAGCCCAGGAAAATTTAATTAATACAAAGGTTAAAGTCCTAGTCCTTATATTAACTTTATGCAGTGACAGATGATAAAATTTTCTATACATTTCCAAATTTCATCTCACAGAGATCAAGACAGTGGTAATGGGTCTCAGATTTTGGCTCATAAAATGGATGGACTACTAGTCTTTACCATTGAGTTTATCTGCAATGATGGAGAATGCCAGAAAAATTCCATATGTATGCAACACAGCAAGCAGTGATAATAATATAGATACAAAGCAAATAATACTGTAAATTACGACAACATAGCTTTTGGTACTGTCACAAATGTTCTACTTTAAAAGTCATATTAGAGGTATATTCCAAAAACTGGAATCAGATTGATATGAGAGATGTTTACTCATCGATCAGCAATCCTACCTTTCTGTTTCAGCTGCGGAGCCTTTCCTAGTTTGTTTTTGGCTGCTATATCTTTCCACTTTTCTGGACTGCCTGTGAAATGACATGTCAGAAAAGAAATAAACAAAGAAGAAAAAGAATACAGAAACATGAGGATTATTTATTAATGTATTATAAAGGTAATAACAGAAATGGTTGACAGATGAAAAAGTGACCCCTATTGTCACGAACAGGCTGGTGAACTTGAGGTTTAAGACACATTGTACTGATTAGGTTTGATTGAGGCTGATGGTGTGAAAGTTGTGAGGCAGCAAAACAGGGAAGATAACATTAATCCTGACTGAACCTGCAGCTAGTTCCCGCTTCACAGTCTGTCTTTGATTAGAAACAGTGCCTCCTCATAGGCCTTTTAGTCATCTCTTAACAGCATGAAAAACAAATGCAGAGTAGACAACAGGAAAAAAATGTTGCAGAAAGGACCAGAAAATACTATTCAAATGTAAACTTTAAAAATTGCTTTTACATCTAAATTTCAACAGCAAAACAAATACTGCATCATATCACATTTAAATAATGCTGTCACTATATTAATAAAAACTTGGCTTTTCAAAAAATCTCATTGTATTAAAACTTGTCAAATTTCTTTGGAAACAGTTTAAAACAATTCTTTTTTCTTCCTAGTCAATATAAGTTAGAACTGTTTATTTCATTCCTTCACTCTTTTCAGACATAATCTTCTACAGAATTCATCTGACATTTGGATAGTTACCTCTGACAATCTAAGCATTTACTTTGATAGGAAATAAGAACAATGAACTGTAATATGAGTCAATAAATGTAACAACGAAGGTAAAGCATGTTTCACCATTATGACCCAGGACTATAAACATACTATGAAAATCTCTGCAAGTCTTCTGTGTTCCAAAATTTTCTTTACTATCCATAGTAATGTCAGCATTTACAAATTACAATTTACAATTTTAAACCTCTGATAATCATCAATGTATATTAGTTTTTTATTCCAAAAAGTGCATACAGTATTTCGGGAGTGGTCAAAATCAGAAAGCGATGATTATTCTTTGATAGGCCAGAAAATGTTGACAAACCCTAACTTGCATCTTACATCGGTGCAAGAAACAGGTATAGGAACTTGCAATGACATAAGCAATGTCATATATTAAGCTATAAAAGAATTACTGTGAGCAAAACAAATAGATAAAAATAATATTAAAAACCCATTCATTTTCCTTTTAAACCTTTGTGGTTATAAAAAGTAATCCAGGTAGATACCTAAACAGCTGTAACACTAAATTATACCCAAACAATATAATCACAGTGGACTTTCACGATTTGTACCCACTGCAATATTTGATGAGCATTATATTGTGATGCAGTATGCTCTGAAACAAAGAAAATACTGCAGCAAAACACAAAATTAATTTTGCATGAGCAGAGGTCATTACCTGATGCTTTCCAGGTTTTAAAAGAATATATTTTCTTACCAAAAAATAATATCCTGGATTAAAAATTAAAATCTCCTTTGTCCTCAAACTATTTTCTCCAGATTTATTTTTTGTATATTCTCATGATTTTTTAATTTTTTTTTTCTTTCCCAGGACAAATACAAGGTGGATACACAGGGAAACACATATTAAATGCTGCGGCTTTACTGAAAACCTAAGGTTAGTAAAGTATTTAAAGTTATGGTTAGATCCACTGAATGCAGCAGCATCATCACTCAAATGATGTCACTCTCTTCATTTTCTGTTTGGTTGGTTATGGGTCTTATTTTCCTCTTACTCCTTATGTCACTTGGTTAGACTGTGACATCACGTGCAATGGAGAAAAAGAGCACATAGTGACTACTCTTTGTAGGATGCAAAAGCTGAGAGTAGAACATGCTCTCCTCTGAAAAGTGACAAAGGAATAAGATAGCACTAGTGAGCTGAATATACTTATTTCTCTTCTCTCTGTGCTGTCCTTGTGAGCAGCACACATCAGAAATACGTTTAAAATCACAATTTCCTTTCTTCTACCCTTCTCCTCCTAAGATGGCGCTGCATACAATTCCATATAGTTCAACAGCCTGCTACAGCACTCATAGTCCTGGCTCAGCTTGAGCACACTGTGGGCGTTGGCAGGTACATATTTAGAGGCAGGTGTCCTTTCATGCCAATATACAACATACGGGGATTAAATACTTATATGGGACTAAGTATTATCTATGAACAATACATGCATATATGTACTTCTACATAAAAAGAGAAAAAACCTAAATATGTGAAAGTATTATGCAGAGCATACGAAGATCATATTATAACCAATATCTCATTTACTTGAAATGATGATTTAGGTAAGTAAGGATACCTCTGTGCTGCTCCAGGTTTAGCACTTAGGTGGTCTACACTGTCCTGTTTTGGAATGGAAGACTCCAGCGTCCTTATTCTTCACAAAATTCGGAAACATGGATGTGAATTTGGACAGAATGAGCAGAAACAGAGAGATGGTCACATGCAGTGAAGGTGGAGACATGCAGTCAAATATATAAACCAAAAGCATTAAGGCATTATCTGCTGAGAAAAGCTGTATTTCTCATTTCCACTTCCACTGATTTAATTCATGGACTTTAACGAAAAGTTAAAATTTTTTAGACATAATATCAACAATCTAGGGTGTAATAAAGTAAAGAATGAAAGCCACAACAGTATTTTTAAAAACCTTTATACTCTACATGCTGAACGGCAGCACTGTGGCTTAATAGTTGTCGTTATCCATCTTGAGAATTAATCTACAGTATTGTTCATTAGATTAATAAACAAATCTATACAGGTTATCTTTCCTTATGAATTTGAAAAATGTGTATTTTGTCATTATATTGTGAAATTCTCCCGAAAGTGCAAGTAAATTTCATAATTTTATATATTTTGAGGAAAACTTTATATTCTGTTGCCAGTTGGTCTGCTACAGTAATAATTAACAACAATTCAATAATAAAGTAGAATAAGTGACTCAGCTTTTTAAAAAAAATTCAAACAAACATCAGAATATTTCTTAATTCCTATATTATTTTCATTTCTGCTGAAGCTGTTTAAGAACCTCTGAATTTGTTCGCAGCTTTCAATTTGGCATAAATATTATTAGCTTTTTGGTTTATTATTAGTTTTTTTATGGAATACATGGTAAAAAAAAATTTTCTTGATAAGGTGTATCAACGTAAGGTGGTTTTTTTCAAATAGTAAATTTCACTTTTAATGAGAAAACTCAGCAAAATTCGCAGTCCACTAATAATCTAGAGTATGTAATAAATCTGACTCTATACCTCCACTACGGTGAGGATATGCCAAAATTTGTCTTTGAGGTCATAAATCTACCAACTATCACACCAAATCACCGATCAATAAGCCCTTGTTATACATGTAGACAAGCACTATATATTATGTACAGTCAAGCTGTTCACAGTTCACGTTCCTCATGCCTCAAAATATTTATCACTGTTGAGTGTAAACAAAATCTATGCACTGAAATATGATAACACTCCAATAAAAATTAAAAGTTACTATTCCTAAAGTGACAAAGTAACATTTTTATAAAATTCAGTGTCTAACATTTAAAATGATTTATTATTGGCTTGTACAAGAGATCTCAGTGGTTTGCAGTGAGTCTGTTCATTTACATAGCCTTAAAGCCATCAAGAATGTCATGTTCAATACTTCCTGATTTTTCCTGAAGATTTCTGAAAGACTGGATCTATGCGGTATGTGAGCTGGAAGGTCGCAACTACTCTGAAGGCTTGGTAGCTCCTCGCCCTCATTCCTAGCACTTCATGTCTTGCAAAACTGCTTCCCTGCTCAAGTCACAGAGTGCTGCCGGAAAGACGGGAAAGGATCATCCAGGCCCAATGAGTCTGCCACGGGCAGTGCACAGCACACCTCAAGCTCTCTTTGGGAAAGTACCAGAAGGGAACTTGCTGTACAGCTGGCTTCAGGATGACTCTCGGACAAGCACTATTACAGGTGCGTGCATGACCGCCAAGAGCTACTTCTCTTAACTGAAAGTATATGAGAATTTTTTTAAAGTCTTCTTTTATCCAGTCTTGGTTATACACTGAAATTATATGCAGACGTCTCAAAAAGAACAGTCTGAATAAAATTCCCACCTACCACTAAATGCCCAATTTTCATTCTCCTTGTTTTTACCATCACTTAGAGTTTCACAATTTCACAGCTCTCCAGTTACCAGAAAGTCTTTCACTTTAGACAGACTTTCTAATTTCTAATATAAAAACCCAAAAAGCCTCTCAGCAATGAAGTGATCAAATTCAAACCAAACACTATTCTTAAAATGTCTTAAAGAAATGCGTTATACTAACCAAACACTTGTTAATTCCTAAGACTGAAACACCATATAACACATGTCTTCAGCTTGTCAAGGTACATCAAGAAGTCACTTTTTCTGATATGGCAAGTGAACGAATTCCAGAATAACAACAATCTTGCCAAGACTTTTACTAAAATTTATGTTATGAATCATTACCAATAAATACAATGTTGTTGCAAAAACTGAATTTAAATGATCAAAATTAAAAATAATGCATAAGTCATATGTTTAAGAAATGTATTCAGAAACAGATCTTCTTGATTGCACCCTATATGCAAATTTGGCCAATTTGTACAATAAATCTGGAATGTACTCAAATGAAGAGTAAGGTGACATCTGTCAAAGTCAATTAATCTCTGAAAATACAATTTAAAAGCGGTGATAAGCAGCTAGTGAGTTACCTCTGCTGACCTACTTGTTCCCTGACATCCACTGCATCAGTTGTCAAAGCACATCTTAAAAAAACAAATTATAGAACTGAGTGGTGTTGGCCAACTGCCAAAGCTATGGAAAATAATCAGAATGAATGTAAACTTCGCAAGTAGAAAACAAAGGTAAAGCACCTTCGATTCCCTCGCTGACACTCTCTCTACAGAGAAGGTGGGCTATTATTTTGTATTGGGCATGCATGCAAAGAGCCCAATGTTCTCTGAACTACTCTTAATCTGGGAGAAAGATCCTGGAACTGGAAGGCTGCAACCAGTCACCAGGATTGAGGTCAGCCTAAACTCCTTCTAGGTTCATCACTGACTGCATCACTGGGATTTGGTGACCAGATTACCTGCAAGACTTCCAAGTACTGATTTCACTAAGTAAATTAGACTGCTGTTTCTCTGACTCAGGATCTTTCCCCATGACAGATTCTATATCCTACAGATGCTTTACTGTAACATGTTTGCTAACGGGTATTAGGTGATCTCAGGCTTTCTCCACAAAACCTCAGCTGACATCAAAAGGCTTACAATTCTGCATTAAGAATGGCAGTATTTAGATGAAAACCCCATTTCAGTGATATGTGATATGATGATGATTTAACTGTAATCACTTCAATGACAAGATTTTGTCAAGTCTGAACCACTGAAGTCAAAGACAGTCTTTCCATTGATTTGAAAAATGGGAAGCAAAATTACTTAAAAATGCCTAAAAGATACAAACTACATTTGTAAACTATTAATAGTTGTCTCAAAGGGACGTGTTGGCAAAATGTCTAGAAATGCAGTACTTGTAACGGGGGACAATTTTGAAATAATGTTTCACAAATTTAATTTTATAATTTATAATGCTGTCTTACTCAAAAAAATAGCTATCCAAACACAATTACACCGTTCCCACCTTGTATTAGTGGAATACATCCAATATTAAGCAAACAAGACATATTACAGCACAAATATAAGTACTGTGAATAGACTTCAGCAGAAGGTAAGCACTAGCATTATAGTAACTGAGTTTTATCCATATACCAATCTTACAGTTTTAAGTGCAACTTCGTAAGAGTTTACACACATATGGATTATTTACATGAAGCATCCGTATCCTGTCATTTACTTTAACACAAAAAATTTGAAGGGAAAATTTTGAATTTGCATCTGGATAGAAATTTTAATGTCTGCTTAAAAAAGCCTCCAGATCTATCTGGAAAAAAAATACCCCAAAATTACTACTGCCAAAGCAATGGAATACCAAAACTCATTTGAGTTGAAAGTTTATTGACAAGAAAAAACCAAGAAAAGGCACTTCTATTAATCATAGGTGGTATTCAGTATAAAAATTTATTTAAAGCACTGGGGTTTGTAACCGAAACCTACCTTATTAGGAAAACATGCTCCATGGAGACCATCCCGATTTGGACAGAATTTACAAACAGTGCCAATTTTTACATACATCATCTAGCAAGTGTTGCCAAACATACCAGTTTGTGGGTTTTGTTTTTTCCCCTTAGGAACAGTTTGTTAAAAAAAGGAAGAAAATCAGTAAAAATAAAAATAAACCCTAGACAAAAATAGGCTTTAAAACAAATAAATATATATTATAAAGCACCACAGCGAAAACACCACCACCATTTACAGAAGCAGATCAAAAGAAACTAAAGAACATGAACACAGATGATGTTCTGTTGTATTAGACATCTGTTCACGGCTTGTAACCATTCAGGCAAACAGAAAACTTGAAAAGACATTAATTCCTAGGTGCTTTATAACAGAGCAACAAAATGCAGAGATGATATCTAAGCTGCTATTTTATTTTGGGCTTCTGGAGGTTCTAAGTCTCTCTCTACATATATGCATACTTTTAAATTTCAGTATACACCTCAGAGTGCAAGATGCAATAAGCCACTTTTCAACTGGGAGGAGTTGACTAGTACCTGTCATCCTCCGGAGATGCATGCTGGATATGAATCCTGGGACTAGTAGGTCGTCTCCTCTCTAGGGAGGGGGACCATCTACCCCTGTTTGCCCGTTCAATGAAACAGGAAAAAAACAGGATATTTAGTTTGTGATAAAATTAAATATATGGGATTTAGGACTGGAAAAATACCCCAAAAAGTAAAGTGTGTAATTTAATTATTTTTTCTAGCAGTTTTCTAATCCCCAAGTATACTATTCTTACAGCTGCTTACTGCAGAAACGTTACAGCTGAAGCAAAGAGAACGTATGCCCAAAGATGCAGAATTTAGACCGATGATAAAAATCTTTTACACAGTGTACCATGAAGTTTTCAAATATTCTCAAATGTTAGACTATCTAAAAGCCTGTCATTTGCATAGGAAGTCATAATTGCAAACGAGAAGAGCTTTTCAAAGACCTTATGTTGGTCATTTTCTGTTGACTACTGGCTGGTATTTTGTTAAGCCTATTGGTCCTAGCTCTTTGCACTGAAAAATGCATTCTCAATAGAAGTGTAGGACTATGAACTAACTCTAAGGTATAAAGTGACCCTTTTCTGGAATGCAATGAGAGAGTAGAAGTAAATTAATTAGCCACAACTAAGCCACACAGATTTGTGTACAAATACTGGGATAATTTTTTTTTCATTTAAAAATAAATATTGAAAGTGTGTATAGTCAGCTTCCTCTTCTGTTCATTTCTCTGTAACCCTGCAGTACATGTTGTGTAATTACATTGTACAACTATGCTGTATAACTAAATGTAGCAAAAAGGACCTGAATTGTGAACAAAAACTGGTGTCTTACATGATTTTCTTCCTGAAAAAGCTCATTTAATTTAGAATGATATATACTATACTATAGACTGGTGTGGCTTATGTTTTGGGATGTTATGTGGTTGTAATAGTACAAGTGTATGTATAACAATTCACAAAATCAAAATATACTGATTAATTTACAAACAGCAAAGTATTTACATAAACTCTGCACGACTATCTAATATTTCACTTTCTGAGGCATCCTTCCAGTCCATGTAATAAGGAAAAGGGTTTGATTTATGGAACATGCAAGTAACAAAGGTTTCGAGGAGATTAGCATCACTTGAACAGTTAGGTAGATCTTTCGAAGTTTCAAGAGCAAATAGGTTGTTAGCGGTTAGTTTCTTTTTCTCTCCAAAGCAAGAGTTAAAGAAAATGTTAATGCATCAGTGCACTCAGTCAAAGCCCTTAATATGCTGATATCCACTACAAATACTAAATAGCATTTGATAGAATTAACTAGGTCATGCAGTATGAACTTTGAGAACATGCTGTCTTTCACTGAATGTGGAATGACCATGAGCCACAGTACAACGCAGAGAAACATGCAAAAACCTATTCCTTTTCATGGTTGACAAGAACTGGAAACACAATACATTGCATACCCAATGCAAACAGTTATTTTACTGTACATTATTTCAAATGTAAATGGTGATATTCAACATAACTGTTAAAGGCATGCAATATAAACACCTAATACTTCAGACTTACTAAAACAACCTTACAAAAATCAACATGAAATCAGGACAGGTCTTAACTGGATGAAGTGACAGCTCCAACTTCTCTTATCTATTTATGAGTAGGTAGCAGCTAACTGTTCAGCTTGGTATCTTGTGTAGGTGGTAGTGACCAGCTGATAGCAAACATCCTGAAGATCTTTGAAATGCTTTGATTCCTATTGCAGCAAAGCCCCTCAGAACAAATCTAACACAGCTGCTGGGCTGCATTTTGCAGATATGCTGACTCTGTTGTACACGAACTAATCCCTGAGTTGTGCTCCTCAGTTTTATTTGCTCAGATCTCTGCTAACAAACCTCTCAGGACCAAAGCATACAAGCAGTACCAATCCATACAACTGCTCTTCTGCTACTGCTAACGCACATAACAATTGCCTGCAACATAAGAAACTTAGAAGGTAAATAAAAGCCACACTACATATTATTAAGTAACTATCACTGGCTGCAACCTTAAATCAATCTGGGGAAGATGCTATTATGATGAGAAACCACTGCTGAATCAGTTCAGATACTGCGCTTAATTCTCATGCCTACCTGCTTTCCTGACTGTAGGCTGGGGGTTGCAAACAAATTTCTCCATTGTAAAGAAATGGTACTCAATTTACAATGGAAAAAAGCAGCAATTTTGAGACACAGTGAAAAAGACAAAAAAAAAAATCACAGTAAAGGAAGTTGTAGCAGCGAAAGCATTTTCAATGGCATTAGAGGGTATTCATGACTATATCATAAACTAACATACGCTTTGCAGATCACCACAGGAACTTCAACAACACAATCATTTAAAAACAAAACAAAACAAAACAGGCTGGAATAGACAGTAGGGGAAAAAAAAGGAGAGGAAAAAGAAGGCAGGCATGGTGCAACTGTATATATGTATCAGTAGGGGCTGGATATTTTTGAGTACATACTGCACCAAAGAGAAATACATGAAGGATTAAGGTCTGTACCAAACCATTCCATTTACCAAAAACTTTGGCAGGCCTTTGTTGGTTTGTTTCTGTTTTAGTGCAACTAACAAGACTTATATATCCGAAAGTCATATATACTGCTGAAAGCATTTTTCTGCTGGTACATGTGGGTCAACAAAATGACTTCTACTGGCAAAGCAGCATCTTAAAAACCAGTAACTACTCTGACCATTCCAAATGACAGGAATGATGTTGTATAGAGTTTAAGGATCAAAACCATTTCCGATAAATCACTGACACAGAGAAACAGAGTTCTACTGCCCATCAGTTACACACAGTCAATACCATTTTGTTAAAAAAAAGCTCGAGTGGACCATTTTAACTCTTGATCTCAAATACAATCTAACTTATACCCTCTGAGACAAAAGACTGGGGGGAAAGAAGTAGAAATAATTTTCCATAGATGAGTATACCCATAACTTTGTTGAAGAAAATATACAATGCCACATTTAGGAGTCTATCATTATATTTTGAGGACTAAAAGTCTAAATTTTTAAATAAAATCTATGATTCCATTGTGGGGGGGAGGAAACATCATGAAAACAGCTAACAATATCTTCTACATAGGTCCCTCGAATGTAATGACAATGAAGGGGTGCTGTATAGATTGGATTTCACAAAACCATATGGCATTTCTTTTTGCTACGAGCAGAACCAACTCTACACCTGACAGATGTCTAATCTCTTCTCAGTCTCCAGTAATGAATTCCAGACAACCTTTTCCATATCGTCTATTACAGTGTTTCTTTACTTGCTTCCAAAAAAAGTTTTCCTACTGTTTAAGATGAACCTGTCTTACTGTATTTTTAAGTCCCTTGTCCAGCACAGAAACAAAATGCTTTCTACGTAGCTCGAACTTAATTCTGTGTTCTTCAAATTAAATACTTGTCTATCATTACACGCAACTGATCACTAACCTCATGTTAAAGTGTAAGCAGATACATTCAGCAGCGGAGAATTAAATCTTCTAAAATTAGCTTCCCTCAAAACAAAAAAGATTAATTGGGTGGGTTTTATACATTAAATATAACATCTTCCTCCAAAAATTGGGCTGTATTGGAAAAACATCATCTATGTCAGAAGAAAAGAAAAAATTGTCCTAAATCCTCTGTCAGAGCCACACAGATCTTATTATTTTCAACAAAATCATCATGGAAAATTTGAATTTCGTAAAAAAGCCTTTCTGCACCCCCATGAAGGATCCCAAGTAAAAAGCATCTATTTAGGACTTCTAAAGGCAAAGTAGTAAAAGTTTCATAGTGATGGGCAATTTTTTCTGGATCAGGCCCACAGATGATTTGGCAAAACCACATGTTTAGTAGCAGCAGAAGCCATTAATGTAGAATAAACAGTTTTCTTTACGAGGAAAATGGTGCAGGTTCTATGCAGTGCCTATTGGACAGAGGTTGCTGGATGTGAATTACAAAGACATAATAGAACTAGTTAACACCAGTGACAGCTGTAGTTTTGGGTATAATATTTTAACTAAATAGTTTACAGTTGTCAGTTACTGTTTCATTGAATATTCAGCTTGATGGGAGGCATCTTGAAATAAAAGTACAAAACGTATTGCTCATGTCCATACATTATTACATTAAAGAGCTGCTTATAGAATAACATAGCTGTATATATCTACACAGTTATTAACATAATGCTGCAATTTAAAAAAAAAAATCTAGAATGATATCCTGTATTTCATTCTGAGTGGTCCTATTTCAGTCATATGTTTTTTCGTTTTTTAGTAACTATGTATATATGGTATCTTGAGCTCAGTCTTAAACAGGAATGAACTAGTGTAGGTCCATTTGAGATATCTCAGCAGAACATTACTCACTCCTCTGCAACAAGGGCACAACTTGAGAAGAGCAAAGTTCCAATCAAGGAGCAGCAGGAAGTAGGGAGGAGGGGAAATTTAACAAAAAACCCAAACACAAACAACTTAGGAGAAACCTTATGTCAAAGCGAAAGTTTCTTTCTTATTGCCTTTCTTCACAAGTCCTCTCCCACAATGACGAAAATGATGCAACTGTTATAACCACCACACTGTGGGTTGACTGAAAGCAACTTTGCATTATTAACTGCCATACTAGTTAAATATGTACTGCACAGATGAAATTGTAATTCCACCATACTCCCACTCAATGGGAGCCTATTATTGCCTTTGGGGAAGCTAAAATCTCACTCTCAAATGGTACAGTTCTTAGCCAAAAACACAGGTGGTGATGAAAAACTCCCTTGTGGAACAATCCCAACTGTCAAATGCACCACTAGTATTTGGTTCACCTAAGATTTTGAACCAAGCTATTGTAAGATTAAAAATTCAGAAAGCATCCATAAAATGCTGGCACAATGTATGTGACACAACAATATTTCATTTGAATTGCAAATATGTCTTCTTAAGACTTAAGTGAACCTTAATATAATGTCAGAGTGAAAAAAACTTAATGCAGCGATTTGCCTTGTAATTGCAAAAGCAGATGCAGCAGATTAGATGAAGAAAGCAATGAAGTTTGGCAGTTTTGTAGAAAACATCACCATACAAACAACAGTTCTGGTTTGAAATATGAGAGTTTTTTCATAATTTATAAATTATGTCACTGCCTTATCAGCAGTTCACAGAACAGGCAAGAAATAAACATAACACTTTTTAGCAAACGATGATGGAAGATTAACAACCAAGTGGTACTTTGTCAAAATACTTAACACTGCAATGCTATTATCAGCATACTGAGGACTTTTGTAAACAATGACATCAGCTTGAACCAAAACAAGGAAAGAAGCCAGAAGCGGTTATAAACTCCAACACACAATTTACATGACATACATGAATATAAGAGCAAAAATGTCTACAAATACCAGAGCAGACATGGATGTACAAGAATGTAGAGTGCTCATATGAAGAAAACCAAAAGTGATAAAGATCACCAGCACAGATGACAAGAAATTCATAAGTTTTTATTTTATACCTTTCTCGTTCTGGTGAATGCAAACTAGTATCTGGTCTCAAGCAGTTGGTACTAGCACTCCTAGCCCTGTCAAGGGAGGGCTGTAGTTCACTAGTGCCAGTGCATTGCATCCAATGGTAGAAGAGAAAGAAAAAGAAAACAAAGAAAGGAATACAATGTTAGATATTAACTCATAAAATAATGCTCTCTTTACAGAAAATGTAGAATCACAATGATTTAATTAAGGAAAACATAAAAGAGCTGACTGGATGACAGTGCCAAGATTTGTTTAGAAAAGAAAAGCAAACAAAAGACTGCCAGAATTTTTTTGCTAAGATTGTTGAAATGTTTAAAACTGAATGAGACAGAACAACATCCACTTGTAAGAAAGTGGAATGAGAAATATCAAACAATAAATTTAAATCCTTAATAACAGCAGTAAATCTTAAGCCAACATAAAAGGATGTGATACATTACATATTACGTGAAATCAATTTCCAGTGAAGCTCATTTATTCTGCAAATCCATATTAGATACCAAACAGGAGGGGGGATGAATCCTCAGTTTCTTACCTAACCAGTAGAGCATCTCCAAAATTCGGTATTTGTGAATTAAGGCAATCACGAAGGAGTGAAATATCCTGTCTAATCACGGATTTGGTCTTAGCACATGCAGGAAGAGTTGAGCTTTGCAAATTAAAATTATTTAAACAAAATGAAAATAAATTTGACATGTAACCAAAATCTTATACATAAACAAAAGAATGTAACAAAGAAAAACACGCAACGTACAATTTTAACAGTGAAAACAACTCTACCTAGTACAAAGTGGTTTGGGGTTTTTTTGTAATGTAGGGGTTAATTTAAACAGTTATAGAAAGTTATTTTAGGATTATATCCTTTATCTCTCAGTTATAAAAACTGTATGACACCTTTTTTTTTTTAACAAGACAAGACTATTTTTTTTTAAAAGGAGCTAACTACTTAAAGGGGACTCTGAACACTTCTTACCTGTATAGGTTCCAATGAGTACCATTTTCTAGTAAAGGCATCTTGGGTGGTAATGTTTTATAGTGCCTAACAGAACTTCTTGAATGTGGTGGAACAGAAAAGAAAATAGAACACCACAAAAACATGCCAGAAATAAAAAGACAAGGTAAAGGTAAGCCAAGACTGACCAGAACGTAAAAGAAATGCATAATATTCTACTACATTTAATAGCTGTATGAGTAGATTTCTCAATATATGTTTTTCTCAACTACTGTGACAGCTATCTGGGGGACAAATTTTTATATTTACACTTTTGTTAATACAGTCCATGAACTCATGACAATACTAGCACAGCTCAGATTTTTTCCTTGTAATGAAAGCACTCGAAATTCTATTTATAGAGATTTTTAATTAAAATACACAAGCTGTTGTAAAGGATTAGGTTGATATCAAACTTGCTCTTTATTTCTCTTAGTGATGCCTTACCTAGACCTTCAGGGACTTTAACATCTTCAGTAGCGAAGCATGAAAAGCTTGCTAAAACAGTGATATATAGTATCACAAACTTAATTATAGATGTATTAGCATCTGGCATTTTTGAGTGTGGAAGTCTTTTGGAAGCTTCAAAATCTAACAGTAATTAAATGCTATAAATAATAAGCTAATTAAAAAACCTAGGAGATGTACTACATCAGCCAGCACAGCAGCACTGTGAGGTGTTCCTGACAGCTGTCTATTATCATCACTTACAGTACATGAGATTTTAGAACAGGAGATATTTGCTTTATTATTCAGCTCTACCCAAAGAACAAGGGAGAAATTTAAAGGCAGACAGTGGCTGTCGAATAGGAATCATGGCCATTTAATGGTTAAGGGTTAATAACCGAGTCCTAACAATTTTCCACATACCCTACCAGGAGAGACAGCTGTGGTGCTATTAGCAGAAAGCCCAGCAGCCTTGAGGATTTGGCAGCTTCAAGAACAGTCTGTCCTAACAGGACATTTTGATTCCTGTCAATACTTAGACCTGGGCACAGCAGATGGACATTACAAACCTGGCTGTACCAGAGACAGATGAAACAACTCTCTGCCTGGAAATCCTACTGTTTGTAAAACCCTGAGGGATTTAACAGAGGAGCTTTGACCTTTCTTGTACAGGTTTAGTGGCCATCACTGCTGACATCTCTACAAGGAGTCACCAGTAGGTTGCAAAGTCAGAATAAAGGAATGGTTGTCCATCAGGTCAATCCTGGCATATTAGCAGATATTACCAATCAAAGTGGGTGTGACCTAAGACATGGAATGTGACAACCCATGCTCTATGGCACAGGTACATGTGTCCTTCCATCGTTTCTGCTATTAGTCAATAATTGCATATGGATGGACAGGATGGACAGGTAAGACTAGTATTATTCTAAACTGGTGCATTAAACTAACCATATATCTTAACTTTGTAGCTTGGACTATCTCGTATTAATATTTCTTTCATTTAACATGAAACTTTTAACATTTCTTTCCCATTTTAAGCTGAAGCTGTCTCAACAATTAATTAAAACATTATTCAGTAAGCTGTCTAGAAAACAAGGATAAAGCCTCATAATGTTTCTAACATGAATAAATGTCAGGCCACTACAAATGAGAAAGGACGGAAGATGGCAACCGATGCGCAGACCAAATTTTTGATGAAAGGGTTTTTGTGATTATTCAGTCAAGGATGGATATTGGCAATTTTCTGGGCATTATTCAAACTTGGATTAGGCTGTATAAGCCTCAGGGTTAAATTTAAAAATCAATCTATTGTCTTCTACTGCTCTTATATTCACCTTCAATACACTATTAGAAGTACCATTTTGTTTTATAGTATACCATTACTGTTACTTTAAAGGGGTGAATTTCTTATTTTGCTTGATCATAAAGAAGTAACAGCAATAATTAGGATAACGAAAAAGGCAAGAAAGGGCTGCACTCTCTCAATTCAGTGTAGCTCTTACCTAACTGTGTTACTGCCCATGCCTGATTTTTAGCTGGCTAACTGGCCAGACTGGTTAGTAGATTTGTAAAACTAATTGAAATCTATAGTGGCCAGGTAAAGCGTATCAAAAATTCATAATACAATATTTACTTTGTGAATTAAGTGAGGTTTTAAGCATTGTCATTGAAGAATTCTAATGAAAATTATAGTCTTTAGGAGGGAAAGGAAAGAGCACAGAGCTGGGGGCAAGGAGGGGTGTGAAGCTATGGAAGATGCAGCAGAAAGAGAAAGGCCATAGGAAGGAGGCAGGAAAAAATTGCTATTATATGACAATAAACAGACATAAAATAACAAGAAGTGAAATAAATCATTAACCTTTAAAATCTAAAACGTTGAGGAAAAAGCTTTTTTAGCTGAAGTATGAAAATGAAACTCTTTCTACTGATAACAAAAACTTAAAATTTAACGGTTTCACTGATGCACAGATTTTTTTGGAAAGTTTTCATGTTTACTATTTTACCTTTATACTACCATGCCTTATAACAGAACCCTACCACAGCATCTTCAATGCTGTTTCAAATTCGATGAAGGGAATTAAAGAAACCCAAGGCATATTTAAAAAAAATCCCAACTATTCTAAGGGAAAATCCTACACCAAGTAAAAGAATAAGTACATTAGACAACATGGTTTTAAAAGTTTTTTTAAACACATAGCACCTACGTAAAACTCTTAGCAACACTGAGATCCTGAACAGAAAAATGGTTAACTACTTGGTTGAAGTAGCTGAATGGCTAACTACTACAACTTCAACCTACATTTTTGCTGATTTTAAATGGAAGATTTTCCACACAATCTGACATGTATTTTTAACAAGGTTAACAGACGTGGTGAAAAAAAAAAAGGGGTGGGGGGCAGAATTAGATTTGTTAGATAAAGATATTTCAGTCCTGTTTAGTTCCACAACATTGGGAAGAGTTGAGACGGGGAGCTCCAAGCTTTGGAATGAGAGATTAATGAGGACTGAAGATGAGCCCAAACTACAAAGTTTATGCTTGGATCTAATTTATATCACAAATTGTAGATGCAAAAGCAAGTAATATGAGATCCCCTCAAATCATTAATCACTGTTCTCTCCTCTACAAGTAACTAAAATCAGCGTGAGATTAGGTGTCACAACAAGTAAAGACTGTTGGCTTGTGTGTGGCTGTAATATAAACATAAAAATGGAAATAAAAGAAACCAAAAACAACTAAAAAGGAATGCTTGAAATTATAACAACATTGTCATGCATTGTGAGATCAGGACTTCTGTGACTAGACAGAGAATCTACCACAAAATACAACTGTAAAAATCAGAATTTCTTCAACTGCTTTAATCCTTACTACTGAAGTTCACAAACATACATACACATCTCAATCTGAATTAAAACAAACAAAAAAGAGCAACTAACACCTGGATCACAATGTACCAGGAAGTTCTTTACTTACTGGGACTAAATACTACTATGGAAAAGAGTTGGGGACACAAAGTATAGACAACTGACCAGATGTGTTCATGATTACCGAATTCCTGTATTTACCTGATGGTATGTAGGCACTCTGCACTTCTTCCTCGTTTTGCTCTGGGCAGCATAAGAAGCTCACTGCACAGACAGGATGGGTGGTGAGTGAAACAGATATAATTATGAAGCATTAGATGACATGGGTTATGCCAATGATACGCAAATGAAAACATAAAAAGAAACAAGAAGCTTCCACTCAGGTAGATAGTCTGATAATGTTCAAACCCAGACTGCACTTCTCAAAGAATATGAGCCAAAAAATGCCTGTGATAAGTACATTTTCAACAAATTCCTTTTAGCATGGAACCTCATTTTGTGGGATCTCTCCTTTTAAAATTCAGAAGTACTTTTTCAGAGCTCTTCATGGCAAAAGGAATCCACAAACCAGTTAGATTTCTCTAATAACCTCCTTTCTCATGAACTACTCAATGAAGAAATACTTTAAGACCAAAAAAAGAGAATGATGCTTGTTCTTTGATTGTTTTTTTTGGGTGGTTTTTTGTTTGGTTGGTTTTTTCCTTCCTAAGCCACAAAAACATACATGAAAAAGCAGGTCAGTTTATGGGAAGAGTAACCGGTCAATCTTTTGGGAAAAACAAAAATATATGTTCACTGGAAATATTATATTTGGCCAAATATAAAGTCTGACTCATAGCTCTTGAACAGTATTTTGTAATGCAATCCTAAAGAAACAAAAAAGTTGCTACTCAGCCATCAGAGTTTTTGTTTCTTATTGTTTCCAATCGAGAAAATCAGCCATCTATTCTATTTTTCATTTACTGTAACTGAATGCATGCTACAGACAGCAAGATGGTAAAATTAATGCATATTTATGCCTATGGGAAATATGACTATGATATGAAATATCCCCTGAATTAATCCACTAGTTTTACGCACTTCAACACAAACAGAAAGACCAAGCTCCAAACCTCCTAGTTATTGTAAATATGAAATTATAGCTAAACTTCATGGAAGCATGCTATTTTAAAAGAAGCAGGGAATCATATGAAGTACTATGGTGACAAAGAGAGAAAAGATTACAAAATAGATAAAGCAGCAGTTGTTCAATGTGCTTTGTGCTTCATGCCTTTATAAAATGACTCGTTTAATTGATGCAGTATAGTTAATATTTATCTAAAATTCTAAACTGGGCAGCTTGAAATAATGGCCTGTAGTCACGTGTGAGATTTAACTTTGCATCTGGAGCCACTAGCCTGCTTTTGATGCAACAGAGTGTATTAAATTTTTTTTTTTAAGCCAAATTTCCATTCACAAATTCAGAGGATTGACAGAATTTATACGCAGGTTTCCAAATTACAAACAAACATGCATTTTAGGAAAAAAGTTACCATTTTCTTAAGAGTTGCAAAGTAGATGCGAAGTCCATGTTAAACCATAGGGTACTTCATTAATATTTACCTCCGCTAAGCCAAAGAGTCTCTATTGCAATTGGCCCACGGCAAACAGCAATATAAAATTCATCCAGAAAAGCGGTATAAAATAGTAAATCCACCATCAAATCTTCAAATTAAAAAAACAAAGCAAAAGAATCCACCACAGTGGATTACTGATAATAGAAGATGATACTCACAGTTCTATAATAAATTAAGTCTGGTTTGTAAACATTTAAAATAAAGATTATTATTCTAACACAAGTGTTTTCTAATGGCAGTATTTTAGTACTCACATTAACAGATTTTATTTAGGAATAAAAGAGACAATAAAAAAAGGGCCATGCCCTTGAAAATTGGACGATGATCTTAAATTCAAAGCAAATTATGCTGCTTAGCTAGTTTTCCTAATAAAAAGCTTTTCCTAACATACTTATATATATATACACACACCTGTGTATATATGTATATAAAAAATGTAAAGTGGACAAATCAGTTCCTCTGGAAATTTATCACACCAGATGCTTTAGTAAGAGATTGTAATAACTATTTTTACAGAGATCTATTCAGAATATTCAGTATTAATTTGGGATCAATAACAGATCACTGAGAAAATTATCAAAAGTAATCAGCAACTGTAATTTCTGCCATGTAACTATTGGGTAATTACCTTTCAAACTAGGTTTATGTTAGGTATCTACATGAATGTACTTATTTAGATGAAGGGTTCAGTAAATGGACAACCCATAATACTTATACTACCACTGATACTAACACATAATACTGAATGCTGATTTTATTTTTTTTTTTAAATCCTTGGATGTGATAGAGAATCTCCCTCAACAAAAGCTGGTTTTGATCTTCCCTATGATGTTGCTCTTATGGACTGAAAGACAGTGAAACCTGCTGAGAGTTAAACAATCTCCAAAACTGAAGAAATCTGGGGGAACGATGAAAAGGAAAACAGGAAAAAAGGAGACCACTGTAGACAAGATTATTACTCAGGAAGAGTAAGTACTTGGACCCATCTTTAAATCCTGCAAACAAGCCACGTACATCCTTCATGTCTGATCTTTAAACTTCTGAAAAGCTTTTTCTGAACACTGAGAAGAACTGAAGACTGTGTCTTACTCCTCTGAACAAACCCAGCAGCCCATCGCTGCTGTGGCTCTGGTCTGAGGGCTCATCTCCAAGAAAGCCTCAAGGCAAGCCCTGCTCTCCAAGCATAATCCATGCATATATCATCATTTATATCATGGTTTGATGCTGTACTGGAAGGAAATTTATTCTAGACTGTTGGCTGTCTATATTTCTACAGACAAAAGCTACTTTTTAATGCCTCTTCCTCTTCAGATTTGCTGAATAAGAAATCTATTCAATAAATATCTTCACATATCTTTTGAATGTATCAGTGCTTATAATAAATAATAACATGAAACATTTGCAACAAGTTGAAATTATTTGAATTAGCTTAACTATAAGTCTGACTACTACATTTAAAAAGTGTTTCAATTCACCTCTGAAAGGGAATTCAGTACAACAATGCAACTTAGACAATTCTGTACATATTCCTTACCTATAAAGTTGAATTTTAAAATGTTCCAAATAACTCACTAATTTCCATATGTATGTTATCATATTAAAAAAGCAAAACAGGCAAGAAGGCAAGATCATATACAAAACTGAACTAGTTTAACTGCAAAAGCCATCTGTTACTCAATTTCTATGTTGCTTCAAAACTGGACAAAGATTTCCAGAGATATTTATGGTTTCTTCTTTACACATTTTCACATCACTATGAAATGTATGTTCTGTATTGGATTTACTTGATCATTGCTGGATCCTTACTCATAAATAATAGGACCTTACTGCAAAAATAAAAAATAATCCAAAGAGATTACTAGGACAATTGATTTTATATGAGTGGCAAAAGTTTGCAATTATAGTTTAGCTACATGATTTTCCAGAAACTTTGATAATCTATGTGACTGTCATCACTATGTTTCCCAAATACTGAACTGAAACATCTTTTCAAACTTTTTTCAGCTATAAACTAAACAGGAACTCTTGTTTTCTTCCATCTTATTAGCATTTATTCCTAGATGCCTGAAAACATGCCTACTAAGAGAGACCAAGCATTCTCTGAGGAGTGTAGCCACTGCATGTATTCCAGGGAGAGATGTATACGCATCTAAGACTGGAGATTTTTGCTAATTACAAGCACTGCAACTGTCCTCGCTATGCTTGGGTACCGTACTAGGTTCACAAAAATGTTACATAAGATGCTGTGAGACTGCATATCCAAAATCTATAAGCACAGTTACGCACATTATAGCATATGCAACTCCCAACTAGTAGGAATGCATGCCTGTATTTTGCTGGCTACTGAAACAGATAAATCATGAGGTACAAGAACAGCTAGGGCATACATGTAGATTTATGGTTTTCTAGCCAAAATCTCTGGACTTCATTCATGGAAAAAACCCAGCAGAATATGCTAGGACAAACACCCAAGAACCGTTAGTCTAGATACTTGCTATTACTGTCAACACAGTGCACGGTTTTATCAAAAAAGAGGTATAGATTTATCAATTAGGTTTGTCTCCCTTCCCCATTACTATCAGTCATGTTGCTACTGAACAACCGAAAATTAGGCAAACCAACAAAGACATTTCTAAACTTTTTCCCAAGTTCAGACTGATGATGTACCTTTCTTGATCAGACAAATACTGACTATCCATGTCTCTGGATCTGTAATCAACTGGAGTTCTGGAGGCATCATGGTGTCTAGTTGGAGAACGTGATCTTCTCATTTGATGAATTTCATCTAAACTCCTGAAAGGCAGAAATATGTATGATAATCTGGTTTTCACATAAATCAACACAGCTTAATGGATTACAGTACAAGTTGGTTGAAGGAAGTTTTTAATCATTAAACTGTTAATATATGACTTCTAAAAAATACCAGATCCTAAGATTAAAAAAAACCTCTAAGAGAGCACCTATTTCTACCATATTTAGGAGTACATGTGTACTCAGCGTACATCGATGGATTCAGTAATGGCATTTTCAAAGCCTGTACCTAAAGAATAACTGCAATAACACAAGAACTGATAATACCTCACATGAATTTAAGTTTTATGTATTTGTATGTTCATAGCCAGATTTCTAAAGGTTTGATTTTGGGCTGTAAACTTTTTGCAGGTATTTCCAAGTATTCTTTAAGAAATTCTGGGACAGGATATGGGAACTTGCAGTAGATTTTATCAATCTCAAACTAAGTGTTATACAAAAGGGGTATGATTTTCTATAAATGCAGGTAAGCTCTGACCTCCATAACAGTAATTTAAAGCTCTCTTCACATGGAAGAGAACAAGAAAAGAAACTACTACTTGAAGGGCAGATTCTTCCTTTAGTTGAGTAACTGCCATTGGAATGAGAAGCATTAGTTTTTCAAAGTATAAAATGAAAGGATGCGTGGAATTGACTACGAAATATTTCATTTGTGCATCGTGCTTGTAGATGGAAAGATACAACAAGAGCACATATAATTGTTTGCAAAAGCAGAATGAGGAGCTCTCATTCTCTCTACTATAAAAAAAAAAAAAAAAGACTGAGTGCCACAGTCTGTTTTATGTACTGCCATACTCTTCTGTCTGTTAAGGATGCATTATTGATAAATGCAACAGCAAGTCATTTGGTTGGTAGCGAAATAGCTTCATCTGTAAGAACTGATGTAACAGAGGGGAATGCAGGCAAGGACTTAAGCAGCACACAACATTTCAATGCACAAGAACAGTATGTATGGCATGGAGGATGGAAAGGAAGAAGCAAGATCAGAATTCTCAACTGGAGGGAAAAGCTGGTTTTCCAGAATATACCATCATTTTGAAACATTAAAGATGTCTGGTATTAAATGACCAGTGATGGAACTCCAAAAAAGAAAACAGACACAGAAATGATGGATATGGATAGTACTGTAGCACAGAATTTTGTGCACAAATTCAGCTAAGAAGGGTAGCTTTTCAGTAAACTACCACAGCTAGTGGGCAATAACATTACTAGTGTAACACTGCAAGCTCTTGTAGTAATTCAAGAACAAAGCTTCCCAGAAATTGGAGGAAAGAAAATCTGGTAAAAACTGATAAAAAAAATTTTAGGGTTCCATGGGAGGCTGCAAGAGAAGCTTATTGCTCTGCACAATAAAACAACCAAAATCAAGTGGGTCAAGTTTTGTGCTTAAACAGTTTGTACAGTACTATTCAAAAAAGCACAAAGCATGCAAATGAAAAGCTCAAAAAGGATTCTCCTATTAACAGGTTGTCTATTAAAAGCAGTAAATGCATAAAATAGAGATTTATAAATGACTATCTGATTCTGTAAAGTATTTTTACTTCTTCCATTAAAAAGGTCACATTATAAATACAATTGATAATTTCAGTTTGCTGTTACTTCAAAATTAGTTTAATTCATAGTTCTTATACAATTTGTACATGCCACTATTTATTATCCTACAAATCTACTTAAGTGGCTTCATACACCATTCAGCTAGAGTGAAAAAACATTTCCAAACCTATGTAGTAGTTAGGGTAGAGGTGATGAATCACAGAGAAAATATTAGTAAGAAGACTTAAGCCTTAAAAAGTTACAATTCATCCCATGAGTTCTCTTGAATGACTGATAAAAGTATACAACAAGTTCAAGTACTACACTATTAAATTCAGACACAAAAAGAGTTTTAAAATTGTGAAAAATTGCTGAACAAGAGAAAAGTTAATAATGACAGATTATACAAACTTGAAACCACCCACTGTTTCACTAACTTGTGATGCCTACCTCTGTAATGGCACATTTGGTAAACGTGAACGGGTCCTGCCCTGATCGTCGCCACGGTGAGGAGATACAGATCTTGAACGATGATGTGTTGTTCTTTGCTGTTCTGGCACAGTTAGCGTTGTAGATTTACTTTCTCTAGTACTAGATCTATAACCTACTGGCAAGAGGGCAACAAAAGGGAATTAGAGAATAGAAGTCTGGGTTTGGAAAGAAATCAGATGGTTAATCCTTCCAGGAACACGCATCTAAACATTTACACAACTTTCAAGTCATCATTCAGCTGTTATATACCCTGACATACCATGCAGCCAGGATAAATTACTAGCATTCCCTTTAAATGTCTACATGTACAGAGACAGAGAAACTGACATGATTTTCATTATGCATTGAAAGACATGGAGGAGAGGACTGAAATAGTTTTCTGACTTGGGGAAGAGTACCCAGAGTAACTTGTTATTTCAAAATTGTCATACAGTAGCAAATATTTGAAAGGAATCCAAGCAATGTAGGTTTACCTCATCTAACAAATAGAGAAGCCATGCTTGTGTACAACAGCACAGACTCATCCAGCACTGCTCATATATAAAGCATCCTTCTGATTCCTGTTCCAGCTAAACACAAAGATATTCTCCTACTAAACTTGGCCAAAGCCACCTATTTTTAAAAATTATGAGCATTTGCAGTATATTGTATAGAATATTGGGTGTTGTATAGTCTGCAGAACATTTTTTCTGAATACTACGAATGAGCTGCAAAGTTTCTCATAGTTCATTTTTACATAGGATTACAAACAAAACAACAGAATGTTAGGAGCTGCAAAGTTTCTCATAGTTCATTTTTAGATAGGATTACAAACAAAACAGCAGAATGTTAGTACATTTTAAAGTGCTGATATTTCTGTTCTTTCTTCCATGTAGCACACTGTTTGCCTTGTTATACACTTTAAATCCCATCCTAAAACAGACAACGAAGCTCAGTAAGATGAATAGCTTTCAAAAGGTGCCTGTTATCTTTCCAGAAGAGCCTAAGGAGATTTGCTCAGACTTCAGTTGCTCCCTTCTAGACATTCAAATTAGGAAAAGAACCCCTTGACAGAAAACCCCTTAATGACAGAAAGGGTCATCCCTTAAGTCATCCCTTAATGACTTCACAAACTATTGTTTAGATTGCACAATAACCATTTTGCTGCTCCTCTGAATTTGTCTAGCATTAAGTTCCTGTAATGTGTTATTTTGTTCCGTTAAAAAACCAGTCTGTATCAGAGATCTTCTTTCCATGCACAAAAAGCCTTTGATTTAGTCACTCAATCACCAATTGGATAAATTAAATAAGATGCACGTTTTAAGGATCTTGTTGCATAATTTCAAATTTGATTTTTTTTTCCATATTTTGCATAATTTGTATAATTCTTGTAGTTCTTCTCTGATCTTCTACCACATTGTTATAGCTCTCTTAAAAGTGTGGCCCGTATATACAGTCTGTATTAGGCCTGGTCATGTATACAATGACATTTAATAACCTGTTTAGCTGCAAGTCTGAACCCTGATCACAAGCTCAAGGAAGCATTCATGCTTTGTTCCCCAAATCGTGCATCAGTTTACCAATGTATTCTAATGGACATGTAACTTATCCGAATGTGTTATTTCCTTATTAGACTTGCAGGAAAACACTTTCTTAAAACAGTGATAAGTAATCCTAAAATAGTATCTCCTACTATAGAACAAATTCTTCTTAGCAACACAAACCTGAGAACAGGGACCTACTAGATGATGCATTTTATCATCCAAGGAACTCTAAGACTGTTTTCCCTGATTACACAGCTTCTAATATAACAGCCTACAGAACTGGGTCCACCTTATACACAGTGCTGAACAAGCTAGCAAAAGTTATCCAAAGATAACAGAAGAGCACCTAGGTGCTGTAGTATCCTACAGTAGCTTTCAGTCTGACACCAGTTTTCCAGCAACTTCAGCAAGTAAAAAAAGCCTGGCTTCAATAAGTTCTTGCCTTTCATATATTTACCACTACAAATACCATAAGAAAGGCAGATAGGAAGGAAACAATGTTGACAAAAAGATGATTAAACAGTTTTACTACAGACTTTCTGGTTACTGTCAGTTAGAAAAAATATGCAGAAAGACCTTTGCAAGTTCTAACATGTTTTGTTAGACACATGTAATGTGTCTTCTACTACTTTTTTTACTACAGACTTTCTGGTTACTGTCAGCTAGAAAAAATATGCAGAAAGACCTCTGCAAGTTCTAACATGTTTTGTCCAACTTCTGTGTCTTCTACTTCGTAGTATAGCAGCTGGGAACATGGGAAATAATTTTTTTCTTCCATTTCTTGAAGCAGAGGGGTGGGATGAGGTTAACAAATCAGGGAAACAAGGACTATGAGTATTGATAGATCTTAGAGGGTAGGATTGGGCCCAAAGAAAAGCACTGCTCATAAGAACATATCATGTAGCTCAGAAACAAACATCAGTTGAGTGCGTATGTGCACTGTTCTCAAACAACACTGAGTTAGACACATCAAATAAAAAAATAACATATGTAATTTCACCTTTAAAATGTGACACTACTCAAGTTTGGGGAGAGTGGGTTAGTGTTTGAAAACCAGAGAAAATATGGG